GTCATTTTGCATTATTGACACTATTTTCCTAATTAATGCTGTTCAGTTGCTTTGACACAATCTGTATTGTTAAAAGCGCTATATAAATAAAGGTGACTTGACTTGACTTGACATTTCAGAAACTTCCCCAGCTAAAATAATTGATTTTGTTGAAAGACAAACATATATGTGACCCTGGAGCACAAAAGCAGTCATAAGGGTCAATTTTTGAAGCTGAATAAATAATCTTTCCATTGATGTATGGTTTGTTAGGATAGGACAATATTTGGCCGAGATACAACTATTTGAAAATCTGGAATCTGAGGGTGCAAAAAAATCTAAATATTGAGAAAACCATCTTTAAAGTTGTTCAAATTAAGGTCTTAGCAATGCATATTACTAATCAGAAATTAAGTTTTGATATATTTACGGTAGGAAATGTACAAAATATCTTCATGGAACATGATCTTTACTTAATATCCTAATGATTTTTGGCATAAAAGAAAAATGTATAATATTGACCCATACAATGTATTTTTGGCTATTGCTACAAATATACCCCAGCGACTTAAGACTGCTTTTGTACTTGACGCTTACTTCAGAAAGATGACAGCGTCATATGTTATTTTCACACAGAGATTGGTCTGTTAGTAAAATCTGTTGACTTCAGAAATCCTTGTTGCATTGTATGACAATGGTGACACTTCAAAAATGTAAAAAAAGCACTTTTTGTGTGTTTTCTCCCAAGTTTGCATGCCTGTAACTCAAGAAGTATTAAATATATCTTAATATCATTTTAGATTTAGGTTTTTAACAAACTTTTCCTTTAGCTTCTTCATTTTTAAAGCCCAGTATGGTTCATTTCCAGAGATATGAGGATCTTCAACGTGGCTCCATGAGTAAATTGTACACATTTTCAGTGGTCAAATACCAAATGGAGGTCACTTTGCATTCAGATGATACTTTATTGCATTTAAAGAAGAATATCTGAAGAACAAATAATGTTGAAACAAGAAATATATCCAATTTCCCTCTACCAAAACAACTGCATAAATCATACCTGCTTGAGTGACAAAAATTTTATTTTTCCAAAGTTTGCATAGCTGCAAGTCTAGAAGTATTAAAGATATCTCAATATGATAATAGATTCTAATTATTAATAAACATTTCTATTGGTGTCTCTATTTTTAAGGTCCAATATGGTTCATTTCCAGAGATATTGGGATCTCAATACAGCTCCATTTACAAGTTGTTGAATATTACCCATTTTTAATGGTCGAAAACCAAATGTGTGTCACTTTGCATTCAGCTGATATTTACTGTATTTAAAGAGGAATATCTGAAGAACAAATAATGTTGAAACTAGAAATGCATGTTTTTCTCTCTCTATCAAAACAATTGTGTTTGTGTGCCTGTAACCCAAGAAATATTAAAGATATCTCAATATTATTTTAGAGTCTGGTTCTTAAACTTTTCTTCTGTTATCTTAATTTTTAAGGCTCTATATGGTTCAGTCCCAGAGATATTGGGATCTCAATACGGCTTTATTTGCAAGTTGTTGAATTTTCCCCATTTTTAATGGTTGAAAACCAAATGTGGGTCAGGATTTAGACCATATTAAAGATATCCGAATATCCTTTTAAAGGTTGGTTCTTCATAAACTTTTCATTTGCCATCTTCATTTTTAAGGCCCTAGATGGTTCATTTCCAGAGATATTGAGATCTCAATGTGGCTCCAAGAGCAAATTGTAGCAAAAACCAACTGTAGGTGACTTTGCATGCAGGTGATATATATTGCACTCAAAGAGGAGTGTTTAATATTTTGTCTTCCGTCTTCATTTATGTATTTCTATCACCAGAAGAAAAGATTCTGGTTGAGTTGACACAGAATGACTCGTTTATATATGGCGTCTGTACCTTTGCCCACGACGGTGAGGTGCACCACTTTGCTGGCGATGGTGGAGAACTCGTAGTGCTTGTAGCCGAGGACTCGGTTGAAGATGCAGTGGTAGGCGCCGGAGTCGTCGAAGGTGACGTTGAGGAGGTCCACAGAAGCGTCCTGAAGGTCCAAGGTGTTCCTGCTGCCGTGCCACTCCATGCGATCCTGAAAGCGCTCGTCGATGATGCTGGACGCCTCGCCGTCGTAGCTATAAATCTGTCCTCGAGACAGCAAACCGTCAAGAGAAACAGCAAAGACCCTGCCCTTCCCCAAACCTGGCTGCTTTCTCTCTCGTGAAGATGGTGATGATTTATCATGTTTTATCTCTTTAATTTAGTTAGTTATCTATTTAAATCAATCTTCAATTTTATTTATTTGAATCAATATTTTAGTTTTATTATTAAATATATTTATTTTATTAATGATTCATTTATTTATTTTAATCAAATGCTTGTTTATTTAATTTATTTTAATAATTTTTAATCAATGTGTTAGTTAGTTATTTTTATTTACATCAAAATAAATTTCTTTTAATCAACATTTTAAATAAATTAAATTATTATTTTTTTTTTTTTACTTGCTTTAAAAAATGCTTTCATTTTTTTTTTACCTCAAATTAATTTTTTAGCAATTTATTTATTTTAATCAAAATGATTAAGCTATTATTTATTTACATCAAATTTGCTTTATTTTAATCAATATTTTAATTTAATTATGAAATATATTTATTTTATTAATGATTCATTGATTTATTTTAATCAAATATTTGTTTATTTAATTTATTTTAATCATTTTTAATCAATGTGTTAGTTAGTTATTTTTATTTACATCAAATTTAATTTCTTTTAATCAACATTTTAATTAAATTAAATTATTGTAGTTTTTTTTTTTTACTTATTTTAAAGTTTTTTTTTTTTTTACCTCAAATTTATTTTTTAGCAATTTATTTATTTTAATCAAAATGATTAAATTATTATCTATTTACATCAAATTTGGTTTATTTTAGTCAACATTTTAATGTTTTATTTATTTACTTGAATCAATGCTTTTGTTTATTTAGTCTTTAATTTACATTAAATTTGATTTATTTTCGTCAATGTACTTATTTAAATTAAATGAATTGAAATACTATTTATTTAAATCCAATCGTGAACTCACGTGCATGAAGGTGGCTTCTCCTCGCGCCCTGAACATCCAGTCGACGGTGGCTGTGGCCTCCACCTCTCCTCGCATCTTACAGGAGATGCATCCCAGCTTGAAGCTCTTTCCCGCCACAGCTTCAGTGTCTGAGTGCACCTCGGCACAGGCTCCGCTGCACAGAGACACTGCAGAGACACGCTGTTATAACATGCCACAAAACCACAAACATGATCATAGACCCCCATCCTCAAACTTAAAGGAGACATACTGTATTATGCCCTATAAGTCCCTGGTGAATCTGTCTGTGAAGTTTCAGCTCAAAATACTCTACAGATCATTTATCATATCATTTTGAAAATGCCTATTTTGAGTGGAAGCAGAAACACGCTGTTTTTCGTGCCTGTCTCTTTAAATGCA